TCTTTGCTTTTTAAACCAAAAAAAAAAACTTACCGATCTTTTACTTGTAAAATATAACTCACTAAAGAATATGCGGCCAAACTTCTCATAAAATTATCTTGAGCACGCAAAAAAGCTTCAGAGGTCACATCTCCATATGTCTAGAAATCAAAGATAAATAAGGGTGAACAATTTATAAACAAAATAATATTTAATGATAGATGGTTACCTTGACGAAATAATCAAATAGTGTGAATACAAATCCTTTTTCGTTTAATCTTTTAGCATAAGCATCTTTTTTAATTGAATGGATCGAAATAGAATTTTGTATTGTTTCAATTAAACCAGAATGATCAGAAGTAACTAAAACTCGATAACTAAGGAATAAAAAAAAAATATAAATTTAATAAGTAAACAAATAACCAATCAAATATAATATATATTACAATACCAAAAAATGATAATACTTACTATTTAACCCACACATTAACATGGTCTTTTTGATATTGAGAGTGTATTGAAGAAGTGTTGTCCAGTATATATTGACTGGTGTTGATGGTTTGTGCAGGTGCATAGGTTCTTGGAAATGGTAATAAAGTGGAATGAGAAGTTGAAAGCAATCTTGATAGCAATAGCTGAATGAGAATCCTGAGGTTTTATAGAATAGCCATATTCGACATATTCAATGTTGTCCCTCATATAATTTATTACATAAAATTTGCGTCTTGAGCAGCATTGATATCATAATTTCAATGACTAGTAAGAAAAATATCAGACCAAGATCCAAGAACATCCGTCTTTTGTAAATATATTAAAGGAAAAACGTTTAATTCTTAATTATCAACTATATATATTTATTTGCAAACCCTCTATTACTAATCATAATATATATAATATTATTTATTATGTACCAAAGTTAATAGAATGAATTTTAATATTGTAGATTTATTATTTAAAGCAAATTATTAAAATAACGTTAACAAATTATAAATAAACCATCTGAAGTTTTTAAAATCGAAAAAATAACGAAAAAAATTTGTCATTCTCTTTTTACATTCTTTTAATCAAATAATAATTAAATTCATACATACAATGAAGAAGACTACTGAATATTATTAATAAATTTAAATTGTCACGTCGTTTTTTTTGTTGTACTTTGCGACTATGGAGTAGGTGTTGTTGTTGTTTTAAACATAATTTGTAGGATTGAACTGGTCGACTTTGGCATCCACAAACTGTCAGTTCGCTAATACAAGGATATTCATTCCTGGATTTAATTAAACCAAAGGATTTCATATATACTATTATTGGCTTACCAAAATAGTATCTCTCCTCAGGAACGATCAATTCAAAAAAAGCAATTGCGGCCAGATTTTTGACAACGCTAATATTAATATAAATTTTTACTTTTGTCATAATACTAATACTAAGGTTGTAATGATTTTACTTGACATCCATCCATAATTGTTCTTTCTCATTTTCCCACTGCTTATATGCTTTTTCGAAATCAAAATCTTCTGTTTCTGACCCATTTAACAATATCATTGATGATTGCTCGAAGTATCAATATTCATTCTATTTCTCATTTTTTATTTTTTATTTAAATTTTGTTGTGAAAATATTCTTTTCTAATAGTAAAATTTTTAGGTCTTTTTACTATAAGTTGTGGCAACAACCTATCTATGAAGTTTCGGGAGAGGTATAATCAGTGTTATTTAAGAACAAGTGTTATAGTTGGAAAAATCTTCATCTGTATCCAATATATACATATATGTTTCCATAATTGAATAATAACAATAATATTTTTATAAGACCAGAGATGATATTTTACCAATACTACCCTTGCTCAAGTGTGAATATTCGAAATACATCAGATGACTTTTGGTAATGGATGGATTTTCGAATAGTCATAAATATTTCAAATAAATATAATTATGAATCACTTTTATTTTTGATTAGGACCTTTAGATGGATGTGTGATCTTTTTTTTATTTTACTATTAGTTTCTAGATTGCAAAACAAGACGATGCTTAAGAGGCATCCTTATCGATCACAAAAATAAAAAAGAAAACAAGACGATACTTGGGACAAATCCTTTATTTTGGCAACATAAATCGACGCGGTTTAACCAAATTTGGAATCTATCTGCAAATTTTCACAAGAAATAACCAATTTGTATATACAGCGAATTTTTACCATTACATAGCATGCTCAATTAAAAAATTTGTATAACATTTATTCTCTTAGAATATTGGCAAAGAATAATATGATACGTGCTTTTATATCTCTTTAGAAACATCATTAATTAAAAATTAATTCCAGACTATTTAAAAAGTTTAATTTCAATTTGAATTTAGAAATCATCGTGCATTCCAATATTGTTATTCTTGATCAACTGATCATTGATTTTCAGTAAAAGCCCTCTTTACTTCTTTAGAAAATTTGTCATCAATCAAGAAATCCAAACCAACCAAAGTAATAC